GTTTCTAAGAAATCTTGTAGTTGTAATTGTAGTGAATTTTACTTGTTTGAGATGAAAACGTAATTTTAAAATATCGAAATGTTCTATTTTTTGTTAAATTCAGTCAATTACGACTAATTTTGTTAGTCATTTTTGTAAAAAACGTGGAGAAATACCGAAAATGTGACAAGAAACGAAAGAAAAACATCGCTATAACCGAAATTGTAATTAATTAATTGGGTAGAAATCAGCAGTAGTTAGAGGGAAGTCTTCATTTCGATTGAATTAGAGTAAATTATTTTTTTGTGTAGAATAGACACTGATTACCGTAAATTTTTGTGCTCGTTTGATTTTCAGTGTGTATTTAATCATTTATTTTATGTATTCATACTAATTACAATTAATTTTGCTAATTTCTCTAGGACCAATTTGTTTTTAAGAACGTAGAGAAATTCTGGAAACGCGTCGAGACATTGCAACAAACGGCGTCACAACCCACATTTTAATTAATGAAGTAGTCGAAATTAGCCTTAATTAGAGTCAAATATTATATTTGGTTGTGTTTAGACTATATTATTTTTACTAGCGTCAACGAATTTTCCGTTGCTGCTTAAATTTTAATTACTTAATTATTTATTAAATAATATGGAACGGATATTAATTACCGTAAATTTTGCTAATTTCACTAATATCCATTCTTCATTCACTCCGTAATTAATTAATTAAGTAGAAATTAGTATGTAATTAAAGGACAAAAAAATCTCTTGGTAATTTTCGAAGGTGGTCGAAAAATGATTGAAATTTCTAGTGCACAAGTTTCAAGTATTATTTACATTTTTTTTTTAAGTAATTCGTTTAAGAAATCACGGAAACCATTTAAACTAAATTCAGATTTGGTTTCTGATGACTAATTTTACTAAATTCTCCTAAGAACGTTTCTAAGAAATCTTGTAGTTGTAATTGTAGTGAATTTTACTTGTTTGAGATGAAAACGTAATTTTAAAATATCGAAATGTTCTATTTTTTGTTAAATTCAGTCAATTACGACTAATTTTGTTAGTCATTTTTGTAAAAAACGTGGAGAAATACCGAAAATGTGACAAGAAACGAAAGAAAAACATCGCTATAAACGAAATTGTAATTAATTAATTGGGTAGAAATCAGCAGTAGTTAGAGGGAAGTCTTCATTTCGATTGAATTAGAGTAAATTATTTTTTTGTGTAGAATAGACACTGATTACCGTAAATTTTTGTGCTCGTTTGAATTTCAGTGTGTATTTAATCATTTATTAGATGTATTCATACTAATTACAATTAATTTTGCTAATTTCTCTAGGACCAATTTGTTTTTAAGAACGTAGAGAAATTCTGGAAACGCGTCGAGACATTGCAACAAACGGCGTCACAACCCACATTTTAATTAATGAAGTAGTCGAAATTAGCCTTAATTAGAGTCAAATATTATATTTGGTTGTGTTTAGACTATATTATTTTTACTAGCGTCAACGAATTTTCCGTTGCTGCTTAAATTTTAATTACTTAATTATTTATTAAATAATATGGAACGGATATTAATTACCGTAAATTTTGCTAATTTCACTAATATCCATTCTTCATTCACTCCGTAATTAATTAATTAAGTAGAAATTAGTATGTAATTAAAGGACAAAAAAATCTCTTGGTAATTTTCGAAGGTGGTCGAAAAATGATTGAAATTTCTAGTGCACAAGTTTCAAGTATTATTTACATTTTTTTTTAAGTAATTCGTTTAAGAAATCACGGAAACCATTTAAACTAAATTCAGATTTGGTTTCTGATGACTAATTTTACTAAATTCTCCGAAGAACGTTTCTAAGAAATCTTGTAGTTGTAATTGTAGTGAATTTTACTTGTTTGAGATGAAAACGTAATTTTAAAATATCGAAATGTTCTATTTTTTGTTAAATTCAATCAATTACGACTAATTTTGTTAGTCATTTTTGTAAAAAACGTGGAGAAATACCGAAAATGTGACAAGAAACGAAAGAAAAACATCGCTATAACCGAAATTGTAATTAATTAATTGGGTAGAAATCAGCAGTAGTTAGAGGGAAGTCTTCATTTCGATTGAATTAGAGTAAATTATTTTTTTGTGTAGAATAGACACTGATTACCGTAAATTTTTGTGCTCGTTTGAATTTCAGTGTGTATTTAATCATTTATTAGATGTATTCATACTAATTACAATTAATTTTGCTAATTTCTCTAGGACCAATTTGTTTTTAAGAACGTAGAGAAATTCTGAAAACGCGTCGAGACATTACAACAAACGGCGTCACAACCCACATTTTAATTAATGAAGTAGTCGAAATTAGCCTTAATTAGAGTCAAATATTATATTTGGTTGTGTTTAGACTATATTATTTTTACTAGCGTCAACGAATTTTCCGTTGCTGCTTAAATTTTAATTACTTAATTATTTATTAAATAATATGGAACGGATATTAATTACCGTAAATTTTGCTAATTTCACTAATATCCATTCTTCATTCACTCCGTAATTAATTAATTAAGTAGAAATTAGTATGTAATTAAAGGACAAAAAAATCTCTTGGTAATTTTCGAAGGTGGTCGAAAAATGATTGAAATTTCTAGTGCACAAGTTTCAAGTATTATTTACATTTTTTTTTAAGTAATTCGTTTAAGAAATCACGGAAACCATTTAAACTAAATTCAGATTTGGTTTCTGATGACTAATTTTACTAAATTCTCCTAAGAACGTTTCTAAGAAATCTTGTAGTTGTAATTGTAGTGAATTTTACTTGTTTGAGATGAAAACGTAATTTTAAAATATCGAAATGTTCTATTTTTTGTTAAATTCAGTCAATTACGACTAATTTTGTTAGTCATTTTTGTAAAAAACGTGGAGAAATACCGAAAATGTGACAAGAATCGAAAGAAAAACATCGCTATAACCGAAATTGTAATTAATTAATTGGGTAGAAATCAGCAGTAGTTAGAGGGAAGTCTTCATTTCGATTGAATTAGAGTAAATTATTTTTTTGTGTAGAATAGACACTGATTACCGTAAATTTTTGTGCTCGTTTGATTTTCAGTGTGTATTTAATCATTTATTTTATGTATTCATACTAATTACAATTAATTTTGCTAATTTCTCTAGGACCAATTTGTTTTTAAGAACGTAGAGAAATTCTGAAAACGCGTCGAGACATTACAACAAACGGCGTCACAACCCACATTTTAATTAATTAAGTAGTCGAAATTAGCCTGAATTAAAGTCAAATATTATATTTGGTTGTGTTTAGACTGTATTATTTTTACTAGCGTCAACGAATTTTCCGTTGCTGCTTAAATTTTAATTACTTAATTATTTATTAAATAATATGGAACGGATATTAATTATCGTAAATTTTGCTAATTTCACTAATATCCATTCTTCATCCACTCGGTAATTAATAAATTAAGTAGAAATTAGTACGTAATTAAAGGACAAAAAAAAATCTTTTGGTAATTTTCGAAGGTGGTCGAAAAATGGTTGAAACTTCTAGTGCACAAGTTTCAAGTATTATTTACATTTTTTTCAAAGTAATTCGTTTAAGAAATCACGGAAACCATTTAAACTAAATTCAGAATTTGGTTTCTTATGACTAATTTTACTAAATTCTCCTAAGAACGTTTCTAAAAAATCTTGTAGTTGTAATTGTAGTGAATTTTACTTGTTTGAAATGAAAACGTAGTTTTAAAATATCGAAATGTTCTATTTTTTGTTAAATTCAGTCAATTACGACTAATTTTGCTAATTTTGTTTGTCATTTTTGTAAAAAAACGTGGAGAAATACCGAAAATGTGACAAGAAATGAAGAAAAAACATCGTTATAACCGAAATTGTAATTAATTAATTGGGTAGAAATCAGCAGTAGTTAGAGGCAAATCTTCATTTCGATTGAATTAGAGTAAATTATTTTTTTGTGTAGAATAGACACTGATTACCGTAAATTTTTGTGCTTCGTTTGATTTTCAGTGTGTATTTAATCATTTATTATATATGTATTCATACTAATTACAATTAATTTTGCTAATTTCTCTAGGACCAATTTGTTTTTTAGAACGTCGAGAAATTCTGAAAACGCGTCGAGAAAATTATAACAAACGCGGTCACAACCGACATTTTAATTAATTAATTAATTAATTAGTTATAAATTAGCCGTGAGTCAAATCTTGTCTTTGGTCGAATATTTCATAACCACCTTTCTAGCTTTTGTTTTTGCTAGATTATTTGTGTTTTTATCAAAGTAATTTATTCAAGAAATCACCCAAATCACCAATTAATTACGACTAATTTTGCCAACTTCATTATTAATTTTTTTTTTTAGAGAACGTGAGAACTTGTCGAAGAAATGATTGCTAACAGTGTTATATCCCAAATTGTAATTAATTAATTAAGTCGGCAGAAATCAGCCGTAATTATTCAGTTGGAGTAAATTACTTTTACTAACGTCTACTTATTGATTGATGTATCGAGATTACGACTAATTTTGCTAATTTCCCCAGTACCAATTTTTTGTAAAGAACGTAGGGAAAGCCTGAAAGCTCGTCGAGGTACTTGTAACAATCTAATTAATTAGAAATTAGTCGTAATTAGAGTCGAATCTAACAAATGAATCAGTTCTGGATGCCACCGAATCGAAATGAATAAAACCCCAATCCAAACCAACAAACTTCTTTCAGTTTCTAACCTAAAAATAACCCAATCCATCCCCCGTTTCCAACATCCCCGTTTGAAATTTGTTTGTATTTCTGCTACTACAGAAACGACCAAACTCAACTCTTAAACCGTGGCTATCGATTACACAAACCCGTCTCCCTCCGGCCCAACTCCGCTCAATTCACCAAAAAATTACCATTCCAAACATCATGACAACCAGAATCCACATAACACGAAAATTAAAAACGCGGTTTCCTCGACATTTGAACTGGAATTGCGTTGTCTAGGTGTGACTGAATAAAAAGGTCCCGTTTCAGGTTTTCTGACCCTTGACGACCCTTCGTTGGACGTTGGCGGAAACGCGGGCCTTAAAGATCAAGTGCTAGCTTTGAAGTGGGTACAAAAGAACATCAAGGAGTTTGGTGGTGACCCAAACAATGTCACTATTTTTGGGGAAAGCGCGGGTGGAGCTTCCGTACATTACTTAGTCCTGTCGCCTCTGACTAAAGGTTTATTTCACAAGGCTATCATTCAGAGTGCGAGTGTTTTGTGTCCCTGGGCTCGCGGTACCAATGATGCCGAAGCATTAGCCAAAAGCTGCGGGTTTTTGGAAACAGACCCTTCCAAAGTGCTACAATTTCTGACGCAACTACCAGTCGAGCAACTTCTAGAAGGCCAGATTAAGTTGGGTGATGTAGGTGGTAGTTGTGTGGTGACCCAAATCTACTTTGTTTGTTTAGTGGTTGTACCCAGGGAAAAAACGCAACGTGGGTCCTACCGTTGAAGCCAAACACGCTGGTGCATTCTTGACTGAAGAACCGGATGACTTGATTAAGTCGGGTCGTTACAACCACGTGCCTTTAATGTTTGGATATACGTCGCTTGAGGGGTTATTCGATGAAGGGAATAAGTTGCTGGGGTTTCAGTCCAACTGGGAGGAGTTCGTTCCCTACTACTTCGACTGTGACGTCGTCGAACGAATCAATCAACAAATTTCGAAGTTTTACTTTGGGACGGACAAGGCAAACCCTGATGATAAGAACGCGCTATACACTGTACCTAAATTCCAATCGTGAGTACAATATATTAAAATATGCTTTCAGGTTTTAACCGACGCCATTTTCCTTCGTGGTATCCATCTTGCGGTCAAAGCGCATGCGCAGTCGTCACAACGCCCACTCTACTATTATAGAATGTCGCTGGACACGAGTTTAAACACGATCAAGAATATGTTGAACCTCAAAGTCAAAGGTGTGTGCCACGGCGACGATTTGGGTTATCTTTTCAAATCGGGACACCCCACTCTGGAACCAGGGAGCCTTGAGCAAAAATCAGTCCTTCGGTTTGTTAAAATGTGGACGAATTTCGCACGGACTGGCAATCCGACCCCAATTGAAGACTCCTTGGTGGACGTTCAATGGAAACCCGTGACCCCAAACCAGCTCAATTTTCTGGACATAGGCACCGATCTCGTGGTTGGGGTTGATCCCGATATTGATAGGATGAACTTTTGGGACGAAATAAGTCACGGGGTGACGGAACGTCGTTGATTTTTACCTAACTAAATTTATTTTTATTGCGTACACATAAAAATAAAATAAAAAATTTGGGTAGGTAGGTACACCTAAGTATCACAATTACTGGCAGTCACAATAAAATAAACTATTAAGTACATTTATAGTAACTTGACCATGTATAGACTAATTCCTGATCCCAGGGCTAACCCCACACCCATAAACACGGTCATCATGGACGAAGCGGTTTCCTTCTCGTGGCATTCCACCACCCTGGAACGAAACTTGAATTTGGGGCTAATTCGTCAAAGTACTAACCTGGGGGCACAAATTGCAGTGATATTCGCTAAGTACCCGTTGGATATCGCGCACATGAACAATATCACTATGTATTGATAATCTCTATCAAAAACGACACCCCAGTGGGATCTGGGTTGGGCGTTGCAGAGCATCATCAGAGGTATGAAGACGAAACGTGCCGTGCTCAGTATCAACAAAACGTAGCCTTTTTTGGGCTGAAACAGCGTAATTTACAGACATTTTTACAAAAATTTGTGTTACCTTTTGTATCCTTCCTGCAAAAATCCTGCCTAAGTAGTCCCCCACGCTAAACAACAAATACGCTATAGTCGGCACGAAGTACACATCTGAAACCCAACAATGCACAAATGTTGACGTCACGCATCCACCCACCGTTCCACCTATGCCCTTGCCCTTTCCCTTCCGACTCCACCAACACCGTCACGCTAGGGTAAACCGACAACGTGATCGCAAAAACCATGAACATCGACAACCCGTGGGTCCAAATCTTCTTCAAAATCATCTTATGACTGATAATTCGTGGTCTGAGTAGCTCGGTTTCGAACTCGTTCTGGGTGATAGTTTTCTCGTACAAGTGGAACTTGAAAAATACTGTCTTCGTCAGGACTACGTAGCAAACAATGGAAGTGATTATGGTGAGATTGCCTATGATGAAGTAGACGAAAGCGCTGTGAACGGAAGACGCCCCGATGGAGAGAGACGCGATTTCGGCCAAAGCCGCAAAGATTCCTCCTAGAGCTTGACCCCCGAGAGTTGCTGTGATGTAAGTGGGGCAAAAGCGGCCGACTACGCCGAAAATGCTACCAGATAAGACGGCGCTACAAACTAGAGTTTGTGTGAAATGGGCGGTCATGAGGGGGGGGGGGGTTACCGTTCAGGAGGATTATGGTGGTGAGGGTCACCACGAAGAAGCCGTTTTGCCAGTCGTCGGTGTTCGTGGTGACGAAGACGAGGGTCATTATGAACAGGCCGAGCATGACGATGAGGGAGCCGATGACGCGCTTGTGGAGAGAGATCCTGGACAAAATTAGTCGGGTTATTATTTGGAGGTGGCGCCACGTGGAGATTGATCAAACTACGTAAGTGTGTACACTTAAGGTGGTATCACTCAGAACTGTCACACAACAGTGTATTTTTATTACTCTTTTTTGTTCGTGTTCTTCTAATGTCTTTTTAAAAGTAACTTATAATTAACTTTAAATTTCGAAAAATGAAAAATTTAAATATAGAAGAACTGGAAACTCGAGAAATCGAAAAACCTAAAATTTTAAAAATTGAAAACTTAAAATATCGGAAAATTGAAAGATTGTGAAAACCGAAAGTTCAAACAACGAAAAATTGAAAATCCAAAAAGTAAAAAGTCGAAATACTAAAAAATCCCAAAATTGAAAAATTGAAGAATCGAAAAACTGAGAAAACTCACAAAATTGAACGAAATATCCAAAAATTGGGAAATTAAAGAATTGAAAAATTGGGAAATCGAAAAGCCGAAAAATTGCAAACCTAAAGAATCGAAAAATTGAAAAATCTGGAGCCTGAAAAATCGAAAAATTGAGGAACTGGAAAACTGAAAAATCGAAACCTTGGCAAGTCGAAAACGGAAAAATAAAAAAATAGATTAACTGAGAAATCGGAAAACTGAAAATTCAGAAACGTCAGAACTTGAACATTTAAGCCAAAAAGTAAAAAAAAAACGAAAAACCGATAAATCGAGTTCTTAAAAAATTGAAAAATTGAAAAATAAAGATACGGAAAAAAGAAAAATTAAAATATACAAGAACGGAAAACTCGAAAAATGCAGAAATCGAAATATATATAAAACAGTCGAAAACTGAAAATCCAAAAAATAAAAAATCGAAAAATAGAACTATTGAAAAATCTCAAAACTGAAACAAATATCCAAAATTGAGAAATTAAAAAATTAGCCAACCGAAAAATCCAAAAATCGAAGAATTGAAGAACTGAAAAATCGAAACTGCGAATTCGGGAAACAGGAAAATAAAAAAATATATATTAATTGAAAAATCGGGAAAAAGTTTAGCAACATCAAAATTTGAAAAATTGGAAAATAGAAATATTGAAGAACAGGACAATAAAAAAATCCAGAAATTGAAAAATCTAAAATTTAAAGCATTGAACAATTGAAATATCGCAAAATTGAAAAATGTAGAAATCCAAACATCAAAGAATCAAAAAAGAAAAATTCGAAAATCTAAAACTTAAAAACCGAAAAATTGAAAAATCGACAAATCGAAACTCCAGAATTTAAACAAAATTGAAAAATTGGGTAACTGAAAAATCGAAACATCGAGAAATTGGAAAATCGAAAAACCGAGAAATCCAAAAATCAAAACATCGAGAAACAGAAAAAATTGAGAAATTGATAAATTGAACAATAAAACATCCAAACATCTGAATTCGATAAATCGAGAAATAAAAAAAAATTGAAAAATTTTAAAAAAGGAAAATTAAAACATCGAAAAGTTGAAAAAAATGGAGAAATCGAAGTATAAAACTGTCGAAAATTTGAAAAATCTAAGGTTTAACGAAAAATTGAAAATCCAAAAGGTACAAAAACTGCAAACTGAAAAATTTAAAAATTGGAAAATCGACAAATTGGAATCGATTGGCATGAAAATTTGAAAAATTGAATAAACGAAAAATTGTAAAATCGAAAGAAACAACAAAAATTAAGGTAATGAAAAAACAAAAAATTGTGATAAAATCGAGAAAATAAAAATAAAAAATCAGGAAAAAGTCGGATAATTCAAAAATCGAAATGCCGAAAAGTAAAAAAACGAAAAACCGATAAATCGAAACATGGAAAAATTCAAAAACTGAGACAATCAAAACATGGAAACATCCGAATCTCGATAAATCGAGTTCTCAAAAAATTGAAAAATCGAAAAATACAGATACGGAAAAAAGAAAACTTAAAATATACAAGAACTGAAAACTCGAAAAATTCAGTAATCGAAATATATATAAAACAGTTGAAAACTGAAAAATCTAAAGTTTAAAGAACGAAAAACTGAAAATCCAAAAAATTAAAAATTGAGAAGTCGAAAAATAGAACTAATGACAAATCCCAAAACTGAAACGAATATCCAAAATTGAGAAATTAAAAAATTAGCCAACCGAAAAATCCAAAAATCCAAGAATTGAAGAACTGAAAAATCGAAACTGCGAATTCGAGAAACGGGAAAATAAAAAAAATATGTTAATTGAAAAATCGGAAAAATGAAAATTTAACTGAAAATTTAGCAACGTCAAAATCTGAAAAATTGGAAAATGGAAATACTGAAGAACAGGAAAATCAGAAAATCCAGAAATAGTAAAATCTAAAATTTAAAACATTGAACGATTGAAATATCGCAAAATTGAAAAATGTAGAAATCCAAACATTAAAGAATCAAAATAGAAAAATTCGAAAATCTAAAACTTAAAAATTGAAAAACTGAAAAATCGACAAATCTAAACTCCAGAATTTAAAAAAATTGAAAAAGCGGATAACTGAAAAATCGAAAAATTGGAAAATCAAAAAACCGAGAAATCCAAAAATCGAAACTTCGAGAAATAGAAAAAAATTGAGAAATTGAACAATCAAAACATCCAAACATCTGACTTCGATACGTCGAGAATGAAAAAAAAAGTGAGAAATTTTAAAAAATAAAAAAAAAAAACATCGAAAAGTTGAAAAAAATTGAGAAATCGAAGTATAAAACTGACGAAAATTTGAAAAATCTAAAGTTTAACGAAAAATTGAAACTCTAAAAATTAAAAAAGGGGTGAAAACCCAAAAACTGCAAACTGAAAAATTTAAAAATTGGAAAATCGACAAATTGGAATCGATTGGCCTGAAAATTTGAAAAATTTTAAAAAAACGAAAAATTGGAAAATCGAAAGAAAAAACAAAAATTAAGGAAATGAAAAAACAAAAAATTGTGATATAAAATCGAGAAAATGAAAAATAAAAAATCAGGAAAATGCAAAATAAAAATCGGGGAGTTGAAAAATTGAGGGGACGAAAAATTGAAAAAGGGAAAAATTAAACATCGAGAATGCGAAAAATGGAAAAATGAGAAATTGTAATATTGGAAGATTGAAAAATCTGGAGCCTGAAAAATCGAAAAATTGAGGACCTGAAAAACTGTAAAATCGAAACCTTGGCAAGTCAAAATGGGAAAATCAAAAAATAGATTAGTTGAGAAATCGGAAAACTGAAAATTCAGAAACGTCAAAACTTGAAAATTCAAAAAATTGGAAAATTGAAAAATCGGATAATTGAAAAATCGAAAAGCCGAAAATTAAAAAAACGAAAAACCGATAAATCGAAACATGGAAAAATTCAAAAACTGACACAATCAAAACATCGAAATATCCGAATCTCGATAAATCGAGTTCTCAAAAAATTGAAAAATCGCAAAATAAAGATACGGAAAAGAGAAAAATTAAAATATACAAGAACTGAAAACTCGAAAAATTCAGAAATTGAAATATATATAAAAAAATCGAAAACTGAAAAATCTAAAGTTTAAAGAACGAAAAACTCAAAAACCAAAAAATTATAAATCGAGAAGTCGAAAAATAGAACTATTGAAAAATCTCAAAACTGAGACAAATATCCAAAATTGAGAAATTAAAAAATTAGCCAACCGAAAAATCCAAAAATCGAAGAATTGAAGAACTGAAAAATCGAAACTGCGAATTCGAGAAACGGGAAAATAAAAAAAAATATGTTAATTGAAAAATCAGAAAACTGAAAATTTAACTGAAAATTTAGCAACGTCAAAATTTGAAAAATTGGAAAACAGAAATACTGAAGAACAGGAAAATCAAAAAAACCAGAAATCGAAAAATCTAAAATTTAAAACATTGAACGATTGAAATATCGCAAAATTGAAAAATGTAGAAATCTAAACATCAAAGAATCAAAAAAGAAAAATTGGAAAATCTAAAACTTAAAAATTGAAAAACTGAAAAATCGACAAATCTAAACTCCAGAATTTAAAAAAATTGAAAAAGCGGACAACTGAAAAATCGAAACACCGAAAAATTGGAAAATCAAAAAACCGAGAAATCCAAAAATCGAAACATGGAGGAATAGAAAAAAATTGAGAAATTGAAAAATCAAAATATCCAAATTCGAATAATTCGAATTCGATAAATCGAGAATGAAAAAAAAGTGAAACATTTTAAAAAAGAAAAAATAAAACATCGAAAAGTTGAAAAAAAATTGAGAAATCGAAGTATAAAACTGTCGAAAATTTGAAAAATCTAAAGTTTAACGAAAAATTGAAACTCTAAAAAGTAAAAAAAGGGGTGAAAACTTAAAAACTGCAAACTGAAAAATTTAAAAATTGGAAAATCGACAAATTGGAATCGATTGGCCTGAAAATTTGAAAAATTGAATAAACGAAAAATTGGAAAATCGAAAGAAACAACAAAAATTAACGAAATGAAAAAACAAAAAATTGTGATATAAAATCGAGAAAATGAAAAATAAAAAATCAGGAAAATGCAAAATAAAAATCGGGGAGTTGAAAAACTGAGGGGACGAAAAATTGAAAAAGGGAAAAATTAAACATCGAGAATGCGAAAAGTGGAAAAATGAGAAATTGTAATATTGGAAGACTGAAAAATCCGGAGCCTGAAAAATCGAAAACTTGAGGAACGGAAAAACTGAAAAATCGAAACCTTGGCAAGTCAAAATGGGAAAATCAAAAAATCGATTAGTTGAGAAATCGGAAAACTGAAAATTCAGAAACATCAAAACTTGAAAATTCAAAAAATTGGAAAATTGAAAAATCGGATAATTGAAAAATCGAAAAGTCGAAAATTAAAAAAACGAAAAACCGATAAATCGAAACATGGAAAAATTCAAAAACATCGAAATATCCGAATCTCGATAAATCGAGTTCTCAAAAAATTGAAAAATCGCAAAATAAAGATACGGAAAAAAGAAAAATTAAAATATACAAGAACTGAAAACTCGAAAAATTCAGAAATTGAAATATATATAAAACAGTCGAAAACTGAAAAATCTAAAGTTTAAAGAACGAAAAACTGAAAGTCCAAAAAATTAAAAATCGAGAAGTCGAAAAATAGAACTATTGAAAAATCTCAAAACTGAGACAAATATCCAAAGTTGAGAAATTAAAAAATTAGCCAATTTTATTAATTGAAAAATCGGAAAACTGAAAATTTAGCAACGTCAAAATTTGAAAAATTGTAAAATAGAAATATGTACTGAAGAACTGGAAAAACAAAAAATCCAGAAATCGAAAAATCTAAAATTTAAAACATTCAACAATTGAAATATCGCAAGATTGAAAAATGGAGAAATCGAAACATCAAAGAATCAAAAAAGAAAAATTCGAAAATCTAAAACTTAAAAATCGACAAATTGAAAATCCAGAATTTAAAAAAATTGAAAAATCGGATAACTGAAAAATCGAAACATCGAAAAATTGGAAAATCAAAAAACCGAGAAATCCAAAAATCGAAACATCGAGAAATGGAAAAAAATTGAGAAATTGAAGAATCAAAATATCCAAACATCTGAATTCGATAAATCAAGAAAGAAAAAAAAAGTGAAAAATTTTAAAAAAGAAAAAATAAAACATCGAAAAGTTGAAAAAAAATTGAGAAATCGAAGTATAAAACTGTCGAAAATTTGAAAAATTTAAAGTTTAACGAAAAATTGAAACTCTAAAAAGTAAAAAAGGGGTGGAAACCCAAAAACTGGAAACCGAAAAATTTAAAAATTGGAAAATCGACAAATTGGAATCGATTGGCCTGAAAATTTGAAAAATTGAATAAACGAAAAATTGGAAATCCAAAAACTGCAAAGTGAAACAACAAGAAATAAAGGAATTGAAAAAAATGAAAATGTGTGACATAAAATCGAGAAAATGAATATTAAAAAAATCGGGAAAATGAAAAATAAAAATCGAGAACTTGAAAAATTGAGGAAACGAAAAACTGAAAATGACAAAAATTAAATACTGAGAATGTGAAAAATCGAAAAATGAAAAACTGTAATATCGAAAAATTGCAAAATAAAAAAATTGCAACTCGAAAAATTGAAAAAAAAAAGTCAAGAAACTGTAAAATTGAAAAATCAAAAATAAGAAAAAACGAAAAAGTATATAATGAAAACTTGGAGAAGGTCAAAAGTGAAAATCAAACATGAAAATTTGAAATTCGAAAGATTAAAAATTGAAAAACTTAAAATTCGAAAAATTGAAAAATAAAAAAAAGAAATATGTATTGTAAAATAAAATATTGAAAATTAAGGAAATTGAAAAATTGGATGACTGGAAATCCAAAAACTGCAAATTGAAAAATTTTAAAAGTAGAAAATCATGGAATTAAAAATCAAAGCCTGAAAATTTGAAAACTTCAAGAAATAAAAAATTGTAAATCGAAAGAAACAACAAAAAAATAAAGGAAATAAAGAAACAAAAAATTGTGATATAAAATCGAGAAACGTCCAGAAAACATAAAATTATTATTTACTGTGTTATAGCAAAAAAATCTCTAAATCGAATCTTACAATTATCTGACAAAACTGAATATGTTATACCGGACTTCAAAAGCGAGGAAAGTGCTATCTAAATAACTTTAGACCAATTTTTATAATTCAACAATTTACATAGAGTATCAAAAATAAAACACCGATAGCTCTCTAATAATTTTGAATCTGTTGTGGTAAATTTTTTTTAATTCCAATATTTTCTATTTTGACAAAATGACGAAAGAATCGAAACTTGGAGAGTTATACAAAACGAGTAAAATTTGAACCCTCTTTTGGAAGGGTTCGTTGTAGACACCTTTTTTTTAATTTTTTTCGCACTACAAAGTGTACTTTGTAACAGCAATGTAAATGTCGTCATTTCTGCATGTTTTTACTTTTTTTTTTTAAACAAAAAACAGAACTGAAAATCAAATTTTAATATAAGAGGGACAAAATATGTCTAATAAGGATTGTTAAGAAAAAAAAGTTAATTTCTCTCGTTTTTACAGGACGTTTCAAATGGGATGAAAACTGTCCCAAATGAGGCTGAGTGATACCGCCTTAAATTTAGGCAACCAACATTACACACACTAATTCAATTTATTACTCAATTTTTGATCTTTAGTTTACGTTGTGGCGCTTTTTAATTTTGTTGTGTCTAGATTACATTACCTGTGAGTCAGGGCCGTATTCAAAATCAAAAACACCAAATTGGGCACAGCTGAGGCCACACTGATGTACGAAGTGAAGCTAGTCTGCAGCGGCGTCCTCTTAGTCACGGAATACGAAGTCAAATTGTTGCTCACGTTTCGGAATTTGTACAACCAATACTACAAAAAAACGTGTAGTACTTCATCGCTTTCATTAAAAAAACTTACATCATCAGCCGTAATGAAGAAGTTCCATGGAAGCAGGGTGACCATTCCCAGAAGATAAAAAATCATGTATGCCATGTAATACTTGTCTTTGGGTTCGGTTTTGAACAGGGGCTTGGTGTCCCTGATGACAACACTGTCATCTGGAAGTTCTGTGACATCTTCATTGTCATTGTCAGAGGAATCCACTTCTTGTAAAAGAGGAGTGGTGTTGACGGAATGTGCCATTGTGACGACTCTTCGTGATTCTAATTCATTGTGATTGCTTTGTTTGTGATGGACTACGAAATGGGTCAGTTTTTAGCGATAACGGGGTTCGACTGACATGTCAACATTTTTTGACGTTAATCAGCTGTTGACGTTTACGTCAGACGCGCGCATTTTTTTAATATTTCTATTTTTATTGATAAGGAATTTGTTTTTGTTGGAGTGGACACTTAACCGCGTGATTTTATAAATAAAGATGATGTATTATCGATAGTGATTTTTTTTGAGGCGAGAAATCCAACCTCAAAAACGTTACTATGTAGGGGAGACTGGAGCCAATTGACACCTTACAAGTGTCAACCTGCTAAAAACTAATTGAAATGTTAATTTTCAAGGTTTGCAAAACTGTTTTAAGTTATGAATGGGAAACTATTATAGATGCAAAATAGTTGGTTTTTATTATTCATCGAATTCTGTTCTGTTGTGATAAAGTTGACCAGGTCATGAGCAAAAACGAAAAATAAAAGGACCGTAACGACTATTTAATGTTTCCAAGCACCATAACTCTGATATTTGCCACAATTAGTACAACTGAGCACTAAAAAGTTACTTTTTTTGGCGTAAATGGGGGTGTTTTTATGTCAAAGGAGTACAGAGTATGAGATTCTGCAACCAACTTTACACGTAACAATCTGCACGAATTCGTCTCTGGCGTCAAAAATGACTTGATACAAATCACAAAAACAACACACAAAACAAACAGTTACATATTTATCTGAGAAAAATGAACGACGACGCTGTTCTTTACTCCAAACACAGCAATTTACAAAAATCAGATGCTGCCTATATTTTGGACAAATATTCAAATTTGTTAAATTGGCGCGATGGTGACAAAATTTTGGATGTGGGTGCTGGGGAAGGATCAGTCTCTATAGAGGTCCTACTACCCAGACTACCAACCAATTTTCACAAACTTACCCTTTCGGATATATCGCCTCAGATGTTGAAATTCGCCCAGGAAAGGTGTGAAGATTCCAGACTGGATTGTCTTCTAATGGACATATCCGTGGTGGTTCCAGAATCTTTACACCAACAGTTTGACCACATCTTCTCCTTTTATTGTTTGCAATGGGTCGCGGACGAAAACAGGTAACGAACACATGATATTAACATTTTTGAATTTTTTTTTTCAGGCAAGAACAAGCTTGGAAGAACATTTTTGACTTGTTGAAACCTGGTGGCGACACGTTGGTCACGATTATAGCCACAGGGCCGTTGTTCGACTTTTCCGAAAGCATGGCGAAAATGGAAAAATGGGCCCCTTTCATGGGGAATGTGAAACGGGTGATTTCGCCCTACCACCATATTGAAAATCCAGCTGACAAGCTAAAGAACTTTCTGGAAAAAACTGGGTTTTTGGTTAAGGTTTGCGAAACTGAGGAGCGGTGTTACGTTTATTCCAGCACTTCACAATTTTTGGGTAACTAAATAAATTTTGGGGATTTTTCTAACTGATTACCCTAATTTCAGACTGGGGATTTTCGGTCAACCCATTTATTAAAACCCTTCCAGAAAACGAACGTCCGAGCTTTATCGAAGAGTACAAGAGACAGGTTTTCACCCACAAGAAAATTATCGTGGAAAAGGGTGACAATGGGGGCGAAAAAATCCACAAAATGTACACAATGTTGACTGCTTGTGCGTCTAAACCACTCTATTAAACAAAACTTAACTAACTAAACAATTTATTTACCAGGTTTTGAGGCACAAACCACCAAAACGCTATAAAAAAACTGAACGTTGTCAATATCATCAAAATTGCGCTGTCTAACAGTGTCTTCAAAATCTTCAACGAATTTCGCCCGTTCCTCTTGCGAAACCTTCGGAACAGGAAAAATCGACAAAGCGTAATCTAAAAACAGCCATTAACCCTCGAAAAATCACAACTTCGTCGTACCCAAAAAATTCTTGAAACCCACATACGTGAAATTTCGTTTCTCGTGTTTGCAAACTTGAACCTCGAAGCCTGCGTTTTCCAAAAAAAATCTAAACTTGTCTTCGGGGTTGTCCGAGTCTCGGTAGTGGGAAATAACTTTTAGAAAATCTGCCATAGCCCGTGGCCACTTGTTGTCCTGGATCATGCTATCGCAAAATTTGTAAAGGGTTGCATCCACTATAAGCGTCCCGAAAAAGTTTCCTCCAGGTTTTAGCATTTCGAAGATGTTTCGTATGGCTTGAGGGGTCCTGGAACACTTGTGAAATTGGACAATACAGTGGTTGCACTTACCTCTCTTCTGGAACCATGTCCAAGCAATAAAACGAAAAAATGTGGTCGAAATAACCTGTGAAACTGTCGTTGTTGTCGGCGATGTTCATCCGAACGGTTTGGATTCGGGCGTCGTTGAACCTGCCTCTGGCGAATTGTACCATTTTTTCAGAAACGTCGGAAACGACGAGTTTGCTGAAGTTGGGTAAGCGTGGAAGTAGAGCTTCAAGGGTTACTGTACCATCACCCGAACCCACGTCTAAAATTATAGCGTCGTTTTTCACATCTAGCAGTCTGAAATAAGTATCAAGGAAATGGTTGGCGTCTAATTTTTGCCGGCGACAGTGTTTTGAGTACAGAGCAGGGTCTTCGTTCATTTTCGTGGTTCTAGAACAGCGTATTGACTGCATTGCGATTTTACTAAATAACACTGCAACTACTGATAACGTTTTTTCTTTGACCTTAGTCGTCAGTAGTGTAGATATCTTTTAACAAAAAACGAAGTGCGTCACAAGCTAGGCATATTTTTTTAGATAGGTGTATACGTTCTCGCAGTGGCTCGAACACGATTCCGCTTAAGCCACCAGAGAAAAGTCAGGGTCACTTCCGATTGTCATTTTCACGCCGGCCGCCGACTTTCCTAAAACCACGGCAAACCGGCCCCCAATTGGGTTAAATTTGAACCTATTAGTACTTTCTATTTGTAATAGGGTCACGGTCCTGGTCCATCTCGGGCCATCGAAACAAATCTAGGTTCTTTCCATTTTCAGCTAGCCGAGAGAAATTTTGAGAAAGGTCGTTAACATTCCTCTCACGGAATCTGGCCGCTGCTTGCGCCGCAAGGACCTCTTCGCGACCCTTTGCTCATCGTTTTTATTTCTTGAGTGTGAGCTAAGGAGGTGTTGTAAGCGATTGCACCAGGCGGCTGGATACTTTCGTGTTTTCTCGAGGTTTCATGACCATGTGGTTTGTGAAGCAATATTAAATTTTCATCAAAAACATCGCGATTTAAAAAAAACAAAATTGAATAACACATTTTTCGATTATGTCGATTATTCAAATTCACGATTTTTTGAATTTTCGATTTCTCGATTTTTTTTATTTTTAATTTTTCTCAATTTTTCGATATTTCAATTTTACGATTTTTGAGTTTTGGGATTTTTGAATATTTAGATTTTTCAGTTTTTCGATTTTTCAACTTTTTTGATTTTTTACTTTTGCGATCTCAAAATTTTTCGATTTTTTTTTTTTTGAAATTTTTGAATTTTCGATTTTTCAAAATTACTTGATTTTTAAAATTTTTGAAAATTTAGATATTACAATTTTTCGATTTTTTAATGTCATGATTTCTCGACTTTTCAATTTTACGTCTTTCCGATTTTTTGACTTTCTGATTTCTTAATTTTTCGATTTTTTGATTTCTCAGATTTTCGATTTTCAGTTTTCGTTTCTTTTTGAATTTTACTTTTCCGATTTTTCAAAATTATTCGATATTTTAAATTGTAGATATTTCGATTTTTCGATGTTTCATTTCTTCCTTTTTCCAATTTTCAAATCTTAAACTTTTCACTTTTTTTGATGTTTCGGTTACTCGATATTTTGACTTTTTGATTTTGGATTTTTTGGTTTTTAAATTTTTCGATTTCTCGATTTATTCAGATTTCGATGTTTCGATTTTTCAATATTTTTCAATTTTTCATTTTTTAAATTTAAATTTTTTGATGTTTCGATTGCTTAATCTTTCGATTTTTTTACTTCTCGGATTTTAATTTTTCAGTTTTTTCAATTTTTTAAATGTTTGATTTTCCGATTTTCAATTTTTCGATTTTTCAGTTTGGAAATTTGTAATTTGTTGTTTCTTCAATTTCCCGATTTTTCGAATTTTCTATTTTTCGTTTTTTTTATTTTTCGATTTCCCAATTTTCTATATTTCAGTTTTAGGATTTATCAATTTTTCCATTTTTAAATTTTCGATTTTTCAGCATTTCAATATCTGGAATTTCTAAATCAATTTTACGATGAATCGATTTTAAGTTTTTAGGTTTTAAAATTTTTGATTTTTTTTTTTTTTTTGCTTTTTTGATTCTTCAAAATGATTTCATATTTTAAATTTTAGATACCTCGATTTTACAATTTTCGGATGTCTTGAGTTCTAGATTTTTTAATTTTTCGATCTTTTAATTTCTTCGATTTTTCGTCTTTCCGTTTTCTCTAGATTTTTTAATTTAACATTTTTTTTAATTTTTAGATTTCCCGATTTTCAATTCTTCGGTATTTCAATTTGGGGATTTTTCAGTTTGTTGAATTTTCGATTTTTCGACATCTCGATTTTTCGTGTTTTCGTTTATTCGATTTCTCAATTTTTCAACCTTCCAGTTTTGGAGATTTTTCGATTTTTTAAATTTTGGATTTTTTGATGTTTCAATTGCTCAATTTTTCGATTTTTTTTTCCTTTAGTTTTTTTAATTTTGGATTTTTCAAATTTTTGATTTTTCAATTTCTCGTTTTTCAATTTTTTCGACATTTTATTTGGGGATTTTTCAATTCGTTGTTTCTTAATTTTCCGATTTTTCGAATTTTCGATTTCTCGATTTTTTTGTTTTTCGATTTTTCAATTTTCGGTATTTCAGTTTTACGATTTATCAATTTTTCCATTTTTTAATTTTTTTTGGCGTGTGTTCGATTTTTCAATTTCTCGATTTTGCGATTTTTTAATTTTTCGATTTTTCGATTTCTCAAGTTTTCCATGTTTTATTTTTGGGTTTTTTTTTATATCTAGATTTTTGAATTTTTAGGTTTTTCAACTTTTTAATTTTTTTTTACTTTTTCGATTTTTCAAAATTATTCGATATTTTAAATTTTAAATATATCGATTTTACAATTTTTCGATTTTTTTGATGTCTTGAATTCTCGATTTTTCAATTTTTGGATTTCTCAGTTTTTTAGTTTTTAACGTTTTTTTAATTTTCGATTTTTCAAAATTATTAGACTTTTTAAATTTTAGATATTGTGATTTTTCAATTTTCTCATTTTTTGATGTCTTGATTTTTCGATTTTTCAAATTTTCCAGTTTTTAATTTTTAGATTTTTCGATTTTTCGGCTTTCCGTTTCTCCATTTCTCATGTTTCGATTTTTCAAGTTTTCAATGTTTCAGTTTTGAGATTTTTCAATATCTCGATTTTTTTAATTTTCTGTTTTTTACTTTTTTTTTCAAAATATTTTAAATTGTAGATATTTCGATTTCCCGATTTTCAATTTTCGGTATTTCAGTTTTACGATTTATCAATTTTTCCATTTTTAAATTTTTGATTTTTCAGTTTTTCAATTTTTGGCGTTTCTAGGTAAATCTTGAAACTTTTCGATTTCTCGATTTTTTGACTTTTCGATTTCTCAAGTTTTCGATGTTTCATTTTTAGGATTTTTTAATATCTAGATTTTCGAGTTTTTATGTTTTTAAACTTTTTGATTTTTTTTACTTTTTGGATAGTTTAAATTTTAGATATCCCGATTTTAGAATTTTTCGATTTTTGAGCTTTTCAATTTTTGGCGTTTCTAAATCTTCGATTTTTCGATTTTTCGATTTCTCAATCTCACGATGAATCGATTTCTCGACTTTTCGATTAAAAACTTGAGTTTTCGATATTTCATTTTTGAGATTTTTTAATATCTAAATTTTTCAGTTTTTTAGTTTTTTAATTTTTTTTTTTAGTTTTTCGATTTTTCAAAATTATTAGATTTTTTGAATTTTAGATATCTCGATTTTCCAATTTTTCGATTTTTCAAGTTTTCAGTTTTTCAGTTTTGGGATTTTTCAATATCTCGATTTTTTAATTTTTCGATAATTTAATTTTTGTTTTTTTTTTGTTCGTTACTTTTTTGATTTTTCATAACATTTTAAATTATAAATCTCCCAATTTCCCGATTTTTCTATTTCTCAATTTTTCGAATTTTTATATCTTAGACTTTTTACTTTTTCGATGTTTCGGTTTCTCAATTTTTGGATTTTTTGACTTCCTGCTTTTGGGTTTTCCGGTTTCTAAATTTTTCGATTTTTTTGCTTTTCGATTTCTCGAAGTTACAATTTTTCAGTTTCTGTTTCTCGGTTTCTCGGTTTTTCCACTTTCCAATTTTTAGATTTTTCAATTTTCTGACGTTTCAGTTTTGAGATTTTTCAATTTTCGATTTTTCAAAATTTCATTTTTTACATTAAAATTTTTCGATTTTTTGATATCTAGTTTTCTGCTCTTTCATTTTTCCAATTTTTTAAATTTTACAGCTAAAATAGTGACGTTTGTCGAATTTACGGTTTTTTGATGTTCCTTTTTAATCAAAATAAAAATTCGAAAATTTAAGAAATCGAGAAATCAATAAAAAACGAAAAATCGAAAATAGAAAAAATGGGAATTGGAGAAATTGAAAAATCAAAATGAATAATCGAAAAACTGAAAAATCAAAAAATCGAAATGTCGAAATTCGAAAAATCGAAGAAGCGGAAAATTCAAAAATTGAAACATTCTACAAAAAACGAAAAACTGAAAATTGGTTTTTTGTTGCTTTTTTAGTTTTCCAATTTTTTACATTTTATAGCTAAACTAGTGATATTTTTCGAATTTACGATTTTTTTATGTTCCTATTTCATAAAAATAAAAATTCGCAAAAAATAAGAAATCGAGAAATTGAAAATCCAGAAATCGAGAAATACAGAATCAAAAATTGAAGAAAGTGAGATATTGAAAAATCGAAAATTGGGAAATCGAAAAATTGAGAAAACGAGCAGTCGATAGAAAACGAAAAATCGAAATATCGAAAATCGGAAAATTTATGAAACGAAAAATCGAAGAAGCGAAAAATGCAAAAACCCAAAAATCGAAAAATCATGCAATCAAAAAACGAAAAATTGAGAACTGGAAAAAATTGAAAACTCAAAATAAAAATTGGAAAAATTAAGAAATCGAGAAACTGAAAATCGAGAAATCGAAAATAGAAAAAATGGGAATTGGAGTAAAAATTTAAAAATCAAAATCAATAATCGAAAAACCGAAAAATCAAAAAATCCAAATATCTAAATTCGAAAAATTGATGATACGAAAAACCGAAGAAGCGGAAAATTAAAAAATTCAAAATCGGAAAATCATACAATCAAAAAACGAAAAATTGAAAATTGAAAAAATCGAAAAATCAAAATAAAAATTGGCAAAAATTAAGAAATCGGGAACTTTGAAATCCAAAAAATGAGATTAAAAAACAAGAGAAATTGAGAATCGATAAAAAACGAAAAATCTAAAATTGAGAACTTGAAAAATTGAATGACCGAAAAATCAAAAATCAAAAAATGTAAGAATCGAAAAATCACATAATCAAATAAACGAAAAATTGAGAGTTGGAGAAATTTTTAAATTAACAGGTTTCGATTTTTTGATTTCTAGTTTTTTTGCTTTTTCAGTTTTCCAATTTTTTAAATTTTACAGCTAAAATAGTGACATTTTTATAATTTAAGATTTTTGATGTTTTGATCAAAATAAAAATTCGAAAAATTAAGAAATCGAGAAATCGAGAAATGCAGAATCAGAAAATGAAGAAACTGAGATATTGAAAAATCCAAAATTCGGAAATCGAAAAATTGAGAAAAAAAAAACGAGCAGTCGATAAAAAACGAAAAATCGAAAAATCGAAATATGGAAAATCGGAAAATTTATGAAACGAAAAATGGAAGAAGAGAAAAATCATACAATCAAAAATCGAAAAATTGAGAATTGGAAAAATCGAAAAATCAAAATAAAAATTGGAAAAATTAAGAAATCGAGAAACTGAAAATCGGAAAATCGAAAATAGAAAAAATGGGAATTGGAGACATTAAGAAATCGAAAAATCGAAAACTCAAAAAATCGAAATATCGAAAATCGAATAATTGATGAAACGAAAAAACGAAGAAGCGGAAAATTCAAAAATTCAAAATCGAAAAATCATACAATCAAAAAACGAAAAATTGAGATTTGGAGAAATTTTTAAATTAAAAGGTTTCGATTTTTTGATTTCTAGTTTTTTTGCTTTTTCAGTTTTCCAATTTTTTAAATTTTACAGCTAAAATAGTGACATTTTTATAATTTAAGATTTTTTGATGTTCCTATTTAATCAAAATAAAAATTCGAAAAATTAAGAAATCGAGAAATCGAGAAATGCAGAATCAGAAAATGAAGATACTGAGATATTGAAAAATCGAAAATTCGAAAATCGAAAAATTGAGAAAACGAGCAGTCGATAAAAAAACGAAAAATCAAAAAATCGAAATATCGAAAATCGGAAAATTTATGAAACGAAAAATCATGCAATCAAAAAGCGAAAAATTGAGAATTGGAAAAATCGAAAAATCAAAATAAAAATTATTGGAAAAATTAAGAAATCGAGAAACTGAAAATCGAGAAATCGAAAATACAAAAATGGGAATTGGAGAAATTAAGAAATCGAAAAATCGAAAACTCAAAAAATCGAAATATCGAAAATCGAATAATTGATGAAACGAAAAATCGAAGAAGCGGAAAATTCAAAAATTCAAAATCGAAAAATCATACAATCAAAAAACGAAAAATTGAGAGTTGGAGAAATTTTTAAATTAAAAGGTTTCGATTTTTTGATTTCTAGTTTTTTTGCTTTTTCAGTTTTCCAATTTTTTAAATTTTACAGCTAAATTAGTGACATTTTTATAATTTAAGATTTTTTGATGTTCCTATTTAATCAAAATAAAAATTCGAAAAATTAAGAAATCGAGAAATCGAGAAATGCAGAATCAGAAAATGAAGAAACTGAGATATTGAAAAATCGAAAATTCGGAAATCGAAAAATTGAGAAAACGAGCAGTCGATAAAAAAACGAAAAATCAAAAAATCGAAATATCGAAAATCGGAAAATTTATGAAACGAAAAATCAAAGAAGCGAAAAATCATGCAATCAAAAAGCGAAAAATTGAGAATTGGAAAAATCGAAAAATCAAAATAAAAATTATTGGAAAAATTAAGAAATCGAGAAACTGAAAATCGAGAAATCGAAAATACAAAAATGGGAATTGGAGAAATTAAGAAATCGAAAAATCGAAAACTCAAAAAAACGAAATATCGAAAATCGAATAATTGATGAAACGAAAAAACGAAGAAGCGGAAAATTCAAAAATTCAAAATCGGAAAATCATACAATCAAAAAACGAAAAATTGAAAAAAATCGAAAAATCAAAATAAAAATTGGCAAAAATTAAGAAATCGGGAACTTTGAAATCCAAAAAATGAGAATAAAAAACAAGAGAAATTGAGAATCGATATAAAACGAAAAATCTAAAATTGAGAACTTGAAAAATTGAATGATCGAAATATCAAAAATCAAAAAATGTAAGAATCGAAAAATCACACAATGAAATAAACGAAAAATTGAGAGTTTGAGAAATTTTTTAAATCAAAAGGTTTCGATTTTTTGATTTCTATTTTTTTTGCTTTTTCAATTTTCCAATTTTTTAAATTTTACAGCTAAAATAGTGACATTTTTATAATTTAAGATTTTTTTTTCTTCCTATTTAATCAAAATAAAAATTCGAAAAATTAAGAAATCGAGAAATCGAGAAATGCAGAATCAGAAAATGAAGAAACTGAGATATTGAAAAATCGAAAATTCGGAAATCGAAAAATTGAGAAAACGAGCAGTCGATAAAAAAACGAAAAATCAAAAAATCGAAATATCGAAAATCGGAAAATTTATGAAACGAAAAATCAAAGAAGCGAAAAATCATGCAATCAAAAAACGAAAAATTGAGAATTGGAAAAATCGAAAATTCAAAATAAAAATTGGAAAAATTAAGAAATCGGGAAACTGAAAATCGAGAAATCGAAAATAGAAAAAATGGAAATTGGAGAAATTGAGAAATCGAAAAATCGAAAAAACAAAAAATCGAAATATCGAAAATCGAAAAATTGATGAAACGAAAAATCGAAGAAGCGGAAAATTAAAAAATTCAAAATAGAAAAATCATTAAAAATTGGAAAAATTAAGAAATCGAGAACTTTGAAATCGAAAAAGTGAGAATAAAAAAAGAAATTGAAAATCGATAAAAAACGAAAAATCTAAAATTGAGAACTTGAAAAATTAAATGACTGAAATATCAAAAATCAAAAAATGGAAGAATCGAAAAATCATGCAATCAAATAAACGAAAAATTGAGAGTTAGAGAAATTTTTTAATTTAAAACGTTCCGATTTTTTGATTTCTAGTTTTGTTGTTGCTTTTTTAGTTTTCCAATTTTTTTAATTTTATAGCTAAAATAGTGATATTTCCCGACTTTAAACTCTTGAATACGTTTTGGACTTTTCGTTTTTTCGATTTCTCGATTAATCAAATTCCCGATTTCTCAATTTTTCAATTTTTCAAGTTTTGGGAATTTTTGAATTTCTGGATTTTTCACTTTTTCCATTTTTTATATTTTGTTTTTTCAATGTTATCGAAATTTTTTGAAAACCGTAAGAACATTATTTATCGAACGGCTATCAAGAATTTGGAGGAACCAAGGTTGAGGAATAACAGAAGAAATTAATAACAATAAAATGGGCAACATTTTGAGAATTTATTCCAATTTAATGTCAATTACTTAATATTTAATTAGTTAATTTTGTACTAATTTTCCTTGTGATTTCACACTCATAGCAATAATAATAATAATAATAATATTAAAAGGTGTCCGCCATTTTCACTTCTATATTTTTCACTTTTTGACATTTATCAGTGTGGTTTAATCGTCGACATGCCATAGCCTTTTCTAGGAATCCTAGGATGATATATCCATTAGTTAAAGGGTGGCCTGAAAACAGTGATCCAAAATTTTAACGAAATTAAAACAAGTTCTGTGTTATTTGATCATTAAAGATCAACTGATACAAGCTGAGTTGTATTTATTCCATTTGTTTGTTTGATGAAAGTCAAAAGTGCCTGTTTATCTCCTTGGTATTAATAAAATTATTGTGACTATGATTCTATTCGCGAGTAGTCGTCCAGCCGGTACTAACCTATCCTATTCTAATCAGCATTGGAGGGTCGTCCGCGCCACCCCTCGCCCCGCTGGAACCAGTCCGGCCGCAATGATTTTTGGACAAAAAAACGTAATGTAAGATGCACTCGGCGGCATTCCGAAAAAATGCAGCAGCCCTGACCAGACACAATTACGTTTTTTTAAAAACGTCTTGCTCGTTTTGGGCGAGTTGGATGACCGGTTGAATTCGTGGGTCCTAAACTCTTATATGTTGTAGTGGTCAGTTCATTCACTCATTTACGAGTGGATTTAGGCCCGCTCTCGCCATCCACCAGCCTAAAAATATCCCGCATTGTTAAAAAAGACAAAACGTAGGTGAAAGGTGCGCTTTTTTGAATAACAAAACGCCTGTTTTTCTGGATCATGTGCAAATCTGCGGGAAATCGGCCCGACTCGGTTTGTTTGAGGTGCGCTGAAATGAAAATTCTGGTTCGCCCCCCTCGAACTTATAAAAGCTCGGAGGACCAAATCGGATTCGTAGTCAAGGCGAGGCGAAGCTCGACGATTTTCCAAAATGGACAGAGCGTCGCTGTACTCCAGGTACAACGGATTGCAGAAAACCGACGCGAGCTTCGTCGTCGACAACTACCTGAGGCTGGTGAAGTGGAGGAGCGACGAGGTGGTGCTGGACGTAGGGTCGGGAGATGGGGACGTCCTTTTCGACGTGCTGCTGCCCGAAATCCCCCACGACTTCGCCAAGCTGGTCGGGACGGACGTGTCCGAGGAGATGGTGGACTTCGCCAGGAGTCGCTACAAGAGCGACAAAATCGACTTCGTCGCGTTGGACATATCCTCGACTAGCATCCTTCCGGAATTCCACGACTTCTTCGACCACATTTTCTCGTTCTATTGCCTTCACTGGGTCGTCGAGCAGAGGTGAGTCCTTACAAAGTCTGCAATCGCTGAAAGTCGCTTTCAGACAAGCCATGAAGAACATGTTCGACATGCTGAAACCTGGGGGAGAAATCCTGGTCACGTTTTTGGCCAGCAACCCCATCTACGACGTCTACGAGAGGATGGCCAAATCGAACAAGTGGTGCAGCTACATGACGAACCTAAAACGATACATCTCCCCCTATCACCATTCGGAAAATCCAGAAACCGAGCTCGAAGATATCCTAAAAAAAGAGGGTTTTTTAATCCGGGTGTGTCGTATGGAAGATCGAACCTACACTTTTCCGAGCTTTTCCGTCATGGCAAGTATGGAATTTGGCTTTTTCGGGATCAAAGTAGTGAGTTTTTGTTGTAGAATCGGCTGAAGCGGTGAATCCTTTTATTAAGAAAATTCCAGAAAACGAAATCGGTAACTACATAGAGGATTATCTGAACGAAGTGAAAAATCTCGAAACTATTACCATCGAAACGACTAACAACGATAATAATAATAACGAGGAAAAAATTCACGTTCCTTATAAGTTGTTTGTCGCTGTAGCTTCTAAACCGGTGTAGATGTTGTATTGACGAGTATCTGACTAAGTACAAATGTATAGTTGGTGGAGTTGACTTTGGTAGGGGTGGTTGATACAAATACTATCCGCTAAAGTCAATTTTTTCTGCTATACTTATTGATATCCGTATTTATCGAATCTCAGAGGTGAAAATGTGGTATTTTTTTATAAATATATATGTTATATTTTATGGGGACGGGAATTTTTTATCAATGTGGTGTATTTTTTCTATTATCAAATAAATAAAACGAACATTTCCTTTTTTTTCACTATTATTCTTGTGGAGAAACGAAGAATAATTTAAAGTGGTAAGTATTTCAAATTATTTTATGGTCACTAAAAGACAAGGTCAATCACTCGGAGGAGGCGTTGGAATTTCATTTGACAGAAACATAACCTTACATTTTAAAACAAACAGTTTCTGTCACAGCTTTCTCGAAAAATTGTAATGTTTGATTGTGCATGATATTCATAGTACACGTATAAAATTTGACAGTAATCGGTCCGATAGTTTTGAAGATTATTTGTCTAACAAAAATCGACGCAGACGATGGGCAGACAGGCAGAGAGACAGACGGGCGGAAACGGGAAACCTATTTGAAACATTGAAAAATTGCAAAATTTAAAAATCAAATAATCTTGAAATATCGAAAAATCAAAAATTTCAAAAATCGAAAATTAAAAAAACCGACAAAGTTAAATCTGAAAAAATCTAAAAGCCAAAAAATCAAAAAACTGAAAATTCAAAATATTGAAAAATCCCAAACCTGAAACGTCGGAAACTTAAGAAATTGGAAATTTAAGCAATCGAAAAATTGAAAAACGAGAAATCGATTTTTTTTTTTCAGAAAATCTCGATATTTAGGATCAAAATTCAACACGAGTTCGTAAACCACAAGTTTGTGTGTTATTTTTTAACATAATTTATAAAATCGAAAATATTGAAAAATTGAAAAATCCAGAAATTGAAAAATTTCCAAAAAATGAAAAGTCGAAAAATTAAAAAAAAAATCGTAAAATCGATAAACTGAAATATATATTAAGAAATTTAAATTCGAGAAAGCCAAGAAGCTAAAAATCAAGAAATTGAAAAATTTTAAATTTAAAAAATCGAAAAACTGAAAAATCGACACATTGAAAAATTGAAAAATCGAAAACCGAGGAAACGAGAAATCGAGAAATTGAACTTGAAAAACTAAAACAACGAAAAATCAAAAGGTCAAAATCGAAAAGTTGGAAAATTAAAAATCAAAACATTGAATTTTGGATAAATCGGGAAATCGAAAAATTGAAAAACAGAAAAAATGAACTGGTAAGTCGAGAAATCGAAATAACTAAAATTTAAAATATCAAATAATTTTGAAAAATCGAAAAAGTAAAAAATCAAAAAATCGAAAAATTCAAAAATAGAGAAATCGGAAAATTGAATAATCGAAAAGTCGGAAAATCGAACACTCGAAAAATCGAAAATCGGAAAATTAAACGATAGGAAAATTTAGAAATTGCGAAAAAACATCAAAAAATTGAAAAATTGTAAGTCTGAAATATCTAAAATTTAAAAAATCAAATAATTTAGAAAATTCGAAAAATCAAAAATTTTAAAAATCGAAAATTGAAAAAACCGATAAATCGAGATCCGAGGAGTACAGAAACCGAGCAATCGAAATATCAAAAAATCCGATAAGTCGAAGATTAATAAATTGAAAAATTGAAACATCGAAATCTGGATAAATCGAAAAATCGAAAAATTGAAAAATGGAAAAAATGAACTGGTAAATCGAGAAATCGAAATAACTAAAATTTAAAATATCGAATAATTTTGAAAAATCGAAAAAGAAAAAAATCAAAAGATCAAAAAATCGAAAAATTCAAAAATAGAGAAATCGGAAGATTGAATTATCGAAAAGTCGGAAAATCGAAAACACGAAAAATCGAAAACACGAAAAATCGAAAATTGGAAAATTAACCGATCGGAAAATTTAGAAATCGTGAAAAAAAAATAAAAAACCGAAAAATTGTAAGATTGAAACAACTAAAATTTAAAAAATCAAATAATTTTGAAAATTCGAAAAATCAAAAATTTTAAAAATCGAAAATTGAAAAAACCGATAAGTCGAGATCCGAGAAGTACAGAAACCGAGCAATCGAAATATCAAAAAATTTAAAATTTCAAAAATCAAAAGATCGAAGAATTGAAAAATCCCAGAAATTGAAACATGCCCAAAATTGAAATGTTGAAAAATTGAGAAACCTAATAAACGAAAAGTCGAAAATTTTTAAAAATCGGAAAATCGGAAAACTGAAATACATATTTAAAAAAAAATAATTCGGGAAATCGAAACATCAAAAACCGTAAAACTGAAAAAATAGAAATTAAAAAAATGAAAATTTTCATAATTTAAAAAGTTGAAAACTATCTAGATATCAAAATATCAAAAGATCGAGAAGTCGAAAAAAAGAAAAATTGAGAAACATTCAAATTAAAAAATCTGATAAGTCGAAAATTAAATCGAAATATCGATAACTTAATAAATCGGAAAATCGAAATTTTGAAAACTCTAAAAACTGAAAAATCGAAAAATTGGAAAACCACAAAACTGAAATGTTGAAAAATGGTGAAAACGAAATATCAAAAGATCTAGAAATTGAGAAGTCTAGAATTCGAAAAATCGAAGAATTGAGAAAACGAAATGGTCCGAAATCGAAAAATCGAAAAATTTGAAATTGAAACTTTTTAACTCAAAACCGATAAATGTAAAAATCGCAAAATTGAGAACCCAAAATATCGAAATTTGGATAAATCGAACGACCGAAAAATTAAGGAAAAACCTAACACAAAAATTCTTAAATTAGAAAAAACGAAAAACTCAAAAATCGAGAAATCAAAAATCCGAGAAATCGAAATTGAAACATTTAAACTTAAAAAAACCTTGAGTAAATGGAGAAATCGAAAAATTGAAAACTCAAAATATCGAAATTTGGATAAATCGGGCGACCGAAAAATCGAAAAACTGGTTGCCGAAAAATCGAGTACTTTATTTAAAAACCGAAAAATTGAAAACTCGAGAAATCAAGAATTTTTTATAACGAAAAATTGAAAACCGGAAAAATCTAAAAGCGAAGGTGAAAAAGCGAGAGATCGGGAAATAGAAGCAATAAGGAAGTGAAAAATCTAAAACACAAAAAGATCGAGAAGTCGAGAAGTAAAAAATTCGAAAAATTCAGCAATCGAAATAGCCCAAAATCGAAAAATTGAAAATTGAGACATTTAAATTTAAAAAACCCATAAGTAAATGGAAAAATCGCAAAATTGAAAATTCAAAATATTGAAATCTGAATAAATCGAGCGACCGAAAAATTGAAAAACCGAATAGCTGAAAAATCGAAAAATTGAAAATTCGAGATGTGAAGAATTTTAAAAATGAAAAATTGAAAACCCGAAAAATTTCAAAGCGAAGTTGAGCAAACCAGAAAGATCTCCGAGCAATCAAAACACAAAAAAAAAATGGAAAATTTAGAACTTAAAAATTTTAAAAAATAAAAAAAAGGAGGAAATGGAAAATCGAAAAATCGAAATATCTAAAATTTAAAATATCGAATAGTTTTGAAAAATCAAAAAAACAAAAAAACAAAAAATCAAAATATTAAAAAATCGAAAAATCGACAAAACAAGAAATCAAAAAATCGAAAAATTGTAAAATTTATAAAAAGTCAAATAATACTGAAACATCGAAAAATCAACAATTTTAAAAATCTAACAATAAAAGAACTCGAAAGATCGAGCAAGAAATCTAAAATTTAAAAAATGAAAAATCGAAAATTTGAAAAATCTTTGAAGTGGAAAAATTCCCAACATTGAAATATTTGCAAAATTGAGAAATCGAATTAACGAAAAGTCGAAAACTTTGAAAAATCGAAAAATCGAGGTGACGAGAAATCGAAAATTTGAAAGATGGGAAAGCTGAAATACATATTAAAAAAAAAATAATTCAAGAAATCAAAACATCAAAAATCGTAAAATTGAAAATGCTAAAATTAAAAAAATCGCCTGTTTTTCTGGATCATGTGCAAATCTGCGGGAAATCGGCTCGACTCGGTTTGTTTGAGGTGCGCTGAAATGAAAATTCTGGTTCGCCCCCCTCGAACTTATAAAAGCTCGGAGGACCAAATCGGATTCGTAGTCAAGGCGAGGCGAAGCTCGACGATTTTCCAAAATGGACAGAGCGTCGCTGTACTCCAGGTACAACGGATTGCAGAAAACCGACGCGAGCTTCGTCGTGGATAACTACCTGAGGCTGGTGAAGTGGAGGAGCGACGAGGTGGTGCTGGACGTGGGGTCGGGAGATGGGGACGTCCTCTTCGACGTGCTGCTGCCCGAAATCCCCCACGACTTCGCCAAGCTGGTCGGGACGGACGTGTCCGAGGAGATGGTGGACTTCGCCAGGAGTCGCTACAAGAGCGACAAAATCGACTTCGTCGCGTTGGACATATCCTCGACTACCATCCTCCCGGAATTCCACGACTTCTTCGACCACATTTTCTCGTTCTATTGCCTCCACTGGGTCGTCGAGCAGAGGTGAGTCCTTACAAAGTCTGCAATCGCTGAAAGTCGCTTTCAGACAAGCCATGAAGAACATGTTCGACATGCTGAAACCTGGGGGAGAAATCCTGGTCACGTTTTTGGCCAGCAACCCCATCTACGACGTCTACGAGAGGATGGCGAAATCGAACAAGTGGTGCAGCTACATGACGAACCTAAAACGATACATCTCCCCCTATCACCATTCGGAAAATCCAGAAACCGAACTCGAAGATATCCTAAAAAAAGAGGGTTTTTTAATTCGGGTGTGTCGTATGGAAGATCGCACCTACACTTTTCCGAGCTTTTCGGTCATGGCAAGTATGGAATTTGGCTTTTCCGGGGTCAAAGTAGTGAGTTTTTGTTGTAGAATCGGCTGAAGCGGTGAATCCTTTTATTAAGAAAATTCCAGAAAACGAAATCGGTAACTACATAGAGGATTATCTGAACGAAGTGAAAAATCTCGAAACTATTACCATCGAAACGACTAACAACGATAATAATAATAACGAGGAAAAAATTCACGTTCCTTATAAGTTGTTTGTCGCTGTAGCTTCTAAACCGGTGTAGATGTTGTATTGACGAGTATCTGACTAAGTACAAATGTATAGTTGGTGGAGTTGACTTTGGTAGGGGTGGTTGATACAAATACTATCCGCTAAAGTCAATTTTTTCTGC